ACTGGTGTATTCATTTTCGCATTTAATTCAACTCCCAATCTCATTCGGGACCAAGAATAACCAAATAAGCACATTACATATGTGAAAGCATGAATAATTTTTTTCCCCGATCAGAACTCAAAATTAGGTCTTATAATTACTAAGTTAAGGCACTACCAACTACACCACAAAAGGTTAAAAAGATTCTGACCTTATTGCTTTTACCTTATATATTAAAGAATGAACGCATTCTATCTGAATGACACTTTGTTCATATTATAGATTTCCCAAACTCACTGGTGTATTCATTTTCGCATTTAATTCAATTCCCAATCTCGTTCGGGACCATGAATAAGCAAATAAGCACATTACATATATGACAACATTAATCATTTTTTACCCCGACAGGGACATGAACCTAGATTTTATAATTACTAAGTCAAGACAATACTAACTACACCACAGGAGGTTAAAAGGAATATAATTTTATAGCATATAACTGCCATACTTAGGAATGAATGCATTCTATCTGAATGCCACTATGCTCAAATTACAGACTTCCCAACCTCACTCGTGGCTTCATTTTTGCATTTAATTCAATTCCCAATCTCATTCGGGACCTAGAATAACCAAATAAGCACATTGCATATGTGAAAAAATGAATCATTTTCAACCCTGACCGGGACTTGAGCATATGACTTATAATTACTAAGTCAAGGCGCTACCAACTACACCAAAGAAAGTCAAAAGTAATCTAACCTTATAGTTTATATCTGCTATACTTAGGAATAAACGTATTCTATCTGAATGCCACTTTGTTATTATTAGAGATTCTATAACCTCACTCGTGGCTTCATATTCGCATTTAATTCAACCCTTCAATCTCATTCGGGATTAAGAATAAGCAAATAAGCACACTATATAAGTGAAAACATGAATCATATTTTACCCCCACCTGGGCTTGAACCTAGGACTTATAGTTACTAAGTCAAGGCACTACCAACTACACCACAGAAGGTTAAAAGGAATCTAACGTTATACCTTATATCTGCTATACATAGGAATGAATGTATTCTATCTGAATTCCACTTTGCTCATATTACAGATTCCCCTACCTCACTCATAGCTTCATTTTCGCATTTCATTCAACTCCCAATCTCATTCGGGACCAAGACCAACCAAAAAAGCACATTATATATGTGAAAACATGAATCATTTTTTACCCTGACCGGGACTTGAACCTAGGAGTTATAATTACTAAGTCAAGGCACTAAGAACTACGACAGAGAAGGTTAAAAGGAATCTAACCTTATAGCTTATATATACTATACTTTTGAATGAACGCATTCTATCTGAATGACACTTTGTTCATATTGCAGATACCCCACCCTAACACGTGGCTTCATTTTCGCGTTTAATGTAACTCCCAGTCTCATTCGGAACAAAGAATAATAAAGTAATCACATTACATATGTGAAAACAGGAATAATTTTTTGCCCCGACCAAGGCTTGAATCTAGGACATGTAATTAATAAGTCTAGGCGCTCCAACTATACCACAGAAGGTTAAAAGCAATCAGAACTTATAGCTTATATCTGCTATACTTATGAATGAACGCATTCTATCTGAATGCCACTTTGTTCATATTACAGATTCCCCAACCTCGCTCGTGGTTTCATTTTTGCATTTAATTCAACTACCAATTTCATTCGGTATCAAGAATAACAAAATAAGCACATTACATATGTGAAAACATGTATAATTTTTTACCCTGATTGGAACTTGAACCAAGGACTAATAATTATTAAGTCAAGGCGCTACCAACTGCACCACAATAGGCTAAAAGGAATCTAACCTTATAGCTTATATTTGCTATTCTTACGAATGAACGCATTATATCTGACTGCCATTTTATTCATATTACAGATTATCCAACCTCACTCGAGGTTCCCTTTTGCATTTAATTCAACTCCCAATCTCATTCGGGACGAAGAATGGCTAAATAAGCACATTACATATGTGAAAACATGAATCATTTTATACCCCGATAGGGACTTGAACCTAGGACTTATAATTACTAAGTAAAGGCGCTACCAACAACAACACATAAGGTTAAAAGGAATCTAGCCTCATAGCTTATATCTGTCATACTTCAGAATGAATGCATTCTATCTGAATGCCACTTTGATCATATTACAGATTCCCCAACCTCACTCATGGGTTCATCTTCGCACTTAATACAATTCCAAATCTCATTAGGGACTAAGACTAACCAAATAAGCACATTACATATGTGAAAACATCAATCATTTTGTACCCCGACCAGGATTTGAACCTAGGTCTTATAATTACTAAGTCATGGTGCTACAAATTGCATCACAGAAGGTCACAAAGAATCTAACCTTATAACTTATATCTTATATACTTAGGAATGAATGCATTCTCTCTGAATTCCACATTGTTTATATTGTAGATTCCCCAACCTAACTGGTGTATTCATTTTCGCATTTAATTAAATTCCCGATCTCATTTGGGACTAAGAATAACAAAATAACCACATTATATATATGAAAACATAAATCATTTTTTACCCCGACTGGAACTTGAACCTAGGATTTATAATTATTAAGTCAAGGCACTACCAACTACACCACAGAAGGTTAAAAAGAATCTAACATTATGACTTATATCTGCTATACTTAGGAATGAACGCATTCTATCTGAATGCCACATTTTTCATATTATAGATTTCACAACCTCACTGGTGCATTCATTTTCACATTTAATTCAATTCCTAATCTCAATCGGGACCAAGAATAACCAAATAAGCACATTACATATGTAAAAACATGAATTATTTTTTACCCTGACAGGGACTTGAACCTAGGACTTATAATTACCACGTCAAGGCTCTACCAGCTACACAACAGAAAGTTAAAAGGAATCTAACCTTATAGTTTATATCTGCTATACTTAGGAATGAATGCATTCTATCTGAATGCCACTTTGTTCTTATTACAGATTCCCCAACCTCACTCGTGGCTTCATTTTCGCATTTAATTCAGCTCCAAATCTCATTCGGGACCAAGATTAACCAAATAACCATATTACATATGTGAAAACATGAAACATTTTTTACTCCGACCGGGACTTGAACCTAGGACATATAATTACTAAGTCAAAGAGCTACCAACTACATCACAGAAGGTTAAAAGGAATCTAACCTTATAGGGTATATCAGCTATACTTAGGAATGAATGCATTCTATCTGAATGCCACTTTGTTCATATTTCATATTCCCCAACCTCACTCGTGGCTTCATTTGCGCATTTAATTCAACTCCCAATCTCATTCGGGAACAAGAATAAACTAATAAGCACATTACGTATGTGAAAACATGAATAATTTTTTACCCTGACCGGGAGTAGAATCTAGGACATATAATTACTTAGTCAAGGCGCTACCTACTACACCACAGAAGGTAAAAAGGAATCTAATCTTATAGTTTATATCTGCTATTCTTAGGAATGATCGCATTCTATCTGAATACCACTTTGTTAAAATTTTAGATTCCCTAACCTCACACGTGGCTTCATTTTCGCATTTAATTCAACTCCCAATCACTTTCGGGACCAAGAATAACCATATAAGCACAATACATATGTGAAAACATGAATCATTTTTTCCCCGACCAGGACTTGAACCTTGGACTTATAATTACTAACTCAAGGCATTACGAACTACATCAAAGAAGGATTAAAGGAATCTAACATTATAGCTTATATCTGCTATACTTAGGAATGAACGCATTCTATCTGGATGCCACTTTGGTCACATTACATAATCCCCAACCTCATTCGTGGCTTCATTTTCGCAATTTATTCAACTCCCAAGGTCATTCGGGACCAAGAATAATCAAGCAAGCATATTATATAAGTGAAAAAATGAATCAGTTTTACCGCGACCAGGGCTTAAACCTAGGACTTATAATTAATAAATCAATGCACTAACAACTACACCACAGCAGGTTAAAAGGAATCTAACCTTATAGCTTATATCTGCTATACTTAGGAATGATGCATTCTATCTGAGTAACACTTTGTTCATATTATAGATTCCCCAACCTCGCTCGTGTATGGATTTTCGCATTTAATTCAACTCCCAATCTTATTCGAGACCAAGAATAACCAAATAAGCACATTGCATATGTGACAACATGAATCATTTTTTACCAGGACAGGGACTTGAACCTAGTACTTATAATTACTAAGTAAAGGCGCTAACAACTACACCACAGAAGGTTAAAAGGAATCTAACCTTATAGGTTATATCTGCTATACTTAGGAAAGAACGCATACTCTCTGAATGCCACTTTGTTCATACTGCAGATTCCCCAACCTCACTCGTGGCTTCATTTTCACATTTAATACTACTCCCAATCTCATTCGGGACCAAGAATAAAGTACATTACATATGTGAAAATATGAATAATATTTTACCCCGACTGGGACTTGAACCTAGGACTTATAATTACTAAGTCAAGGCACTACCAACTATACCAAACAAGGCTAAAAGGAATCTAACCTTATAGGTTATATATGCTATACTTTATAATGAACACATTCTACTTGAATGCCACTTAGCTCATATTACAAACTCCCCAGCGTCACTCGTGTCTTCATTTTTGCATTTAATTCAATTCCCAATCTCATTCGGGACCAAGAATAACCAAATAAGCACCTTACATATATGAAAACATGACTAATTTTTTACCCCGACAGGCACTAGATGAAGGTGCTACCTACTACACCAAAGAAATTAAAAAGGAACCTAATCTTATAGTTTATATCTGTTATACTTAGGAATGATCGAATTCCATCAGAATACTACTTTGTTTATATTTCAGATTCCCCAACCTCACCCGTGGCTTCATTTTCGCATTTAATTTAACTCCCAATCGCTCTCGGGACCAAGAATAACCAAATAAGCACATTGCATATGTGAAAACATCATTCCTTTCTTACCCCAACCTGGAATTGAACCTAGGACCTATAATTACTAAGTCAAAGCGCTACCAACTACACCACAAAGGTTAAAAGGAATCTAACCTTATAACATATATCTGCTATAATGAAGAATGAATGCATACTATCTGAATGCCACTTTGCTCATATTACAGACTCTCCAACCTCATTTGTGGCTTCATTTTTGCATTTAATTCAACTCCCAATCTCATTCGGGACCAAGAATAATCAAATAATCACATTACATATGTGAAAACATGAATAATTTTTTACTTCTACCGTGACCTGAACTTTGGACTTATAATTACTAAGTCAAGGCGCTACCAACACCACAGAAAGTTAAAATAATCTAACCTTATTGTTTATATCTGCTATACTTAGGAATGATCGCATTCTATCTGAATGCCACTTAGTTCTTATTATGGCTTCATTTTCGCATTTAATTCAACTTCCAATGTCATTCGTGACCAAGATTAACCAAATAAGCACATTACTTATGCGAAAACGTGAATAAATTTTTACCCCTACAGGGACTTGAACCTAGGACTTATAATTACTAAGTCAAGGTGCTACCAACTACACCACAGAAGGTTAAAAGGAATCTAACCTTATAGCTTCTATATGCTACACTTTGGAATGTCGCATTGTATCTGAATGCCACTTTGTTTATATTACATTTTCCTAACCTCACTCGTAGCTTCATTTTCGCATTTAATTCAACTCCCAATCTCATTCGGGACCAAGAATAACCAAAAAAAAACATTGCATATGTGAAAACATCAATAATTATTTAACCCGACCGGGACTAAAACCTAGGACTTATAATTACAAAGTCAAGGCGCTACCTACTACACCACAGGAGGTAAAAGGGAATCTAATCTTAAAGTTTATATCTGTTATACTTGGGAATGAACGCATTCTATCTGAATACCACTTTGTTCATATTACATATTCCCCAACATCACTCGTGGATTCATTTTCGCATTTAATTCAACTCCCAATGACTTTCGGGACCAAGAATAACCAAATAAGCACATTATATATGTGAAAACATGAATACTGTTTTAGCCCCACCGGGACTCGAACCTAAGACTTATATTTACTAAGTCAAGGCGCTACCAAATACACCACAGAAGGTAAAAAAGGAATCTAATCTTATGGTTTATATTTGCTATACTTAGAAATGATCGCATTCTATCTGAATACCACTTTATTCATATTATAGATTCCCCAACTTCACTGGTGTATTCATTTTCGCATTTAATTCAATTCCCAATTACATTGGGGACCAGGAATAACCAAATAAGCACATTACTTATGTGAAAACATAAATCAATTTTTACCCCGAAAGGGACTTCAACCTCGGACTTATTATTATTAAGTAAAGGCGACACTAACTACACCACATAAAGTTAAAAGGAATCTAACCTTATAGCTTATATTTTATATACTTGGGAATGACGCATTCTATCTGAATGCCACTTTGTTCGTATAACAGTGTTTCCCAGCTTCACTCGTGGCTTCATTTTCGACTTTAATTCCGCTCCCAATCTCATTCGGGACCAAGAATAACCAAGTAAACACATTACATATGTGAATACATAAATCATTTTTTACCCTTACCGGGACTTGAAAATAGGACTTATAATTACTAAGTCAAGTCGCCACCAACTACACCACAGAAGGTTTAAAGGCTTCTAACCTTATAGCTTATATATGCTATACTTAGGAATGAATGCATTTTCTCTGAATGCCACTTTGTTCATATTACAGATTCCTCAACCTCACTCATGGCTTCATTTTTATATTTAATTCAACTCCCAATCACTTTCGGGAGCAATAATAAAGCACATTACATATCTGAAAACATGAATAATTTTTTACTCCGACCGGTTCTTGAACCTTAGACTTATAATTACTAAGTCAAGGTGCTACCAATTATACCACAGAAGGTTAAAAGAAATTTAACCTTATTGGTTAAATATGCTATTCTTAGGAATGAACGTATTCTTTCTGAATGCCACTTTGTTCATAATACATATTCCCCAATCTCACTCGTGGCTTCATTTTCGCATTTAATTCAATTCCCAATCTCATTCGTGACCAAGAATAATCAAATAAGCACATTACATATGTGAAAACATGAATAATTTTTTACCCTGAACGGGACTAGAACATAGGACTTATAATTACTAAGTCAAGGCGCTACCTACTACACCACAGAATTAAAAAAGGAATCTAATCTTATAGTTTATATTTGCTATACTTAGGAATGATCACATTCTATCTGAATACCACTTTGTTCATATTACAGATTCCCCAACCTCACTCGTGGCTTCATTTTCGACTTTAATTCAACTCCCAATCACTTTCGGGACTAAGAATAAGCAAAAAAGCACATTAAATATGTGATTACCTGAATCATTTTTTACCCCGACCGTGAAAAGAACCTAGGCGCTACCAACTACACCACAAAAGGAAAAAAGTAATCAGATCTTATAGCTTACATCTGCTATACTTAGAAATGAACGCATTCTATTTGAATGCCACTTTGTTCATATTACATATTCTCCAACCTCAATCGTGGCTTCATTTTCGCATTTAATTCAACTCCCAATCTCATTCGGGACCTAGAGTAACCAAATAAGCACATTACATATGTGAAAACATGAATAATTTTTAACCCCAACCGGGACTTGAACCTAGGTCTTATCATTACTAAGTCAAGTTGCTTCCAGCTACACCACAGAGGGTAAAAAGGAATCTAATCTTATGGTTTATAACTGCTTTACTTAGAAATGATTGCACTCTATCTGAATACCACTTTGTTCATATTATAGATTCCCCAACCTCACTGGTGTATTCATTTTCGCATTTAATTCAACTCCCAATCTTATGCGCTACCAAGAATAACCAAATAAGCACATTACATACGTGAAAACATGAATAATTTTTTACCCCGGTACCAACTACACCACAGTAGGTTAAAAAGAATCTAACCATATAGCTTATATCTTTTATACTTAGGAAGGAACGCATTCTATCTGAATGCCTCTTTGTTCATATTATAGATTTCCTAACCTCACTGGTGTATTCATTTTCGCATTTAATTCAATTCCCAATTACATTCGGGACCAAGAATAACCAAATAAGCACATTACATATGTGAAAACATAAATCATTTTTTACCCCGACCTTGACTTGAAAGTAGGACTTATAATTACTAAGTCAAGGCACTACCTACTACACCACAAAAGGTAAAAATTAATCTAACCTTATAGCTTATATCTGGTCTACTTAGGAATGAATGCATTCTATATGAATGCCACTCTGCTCTATTACAGATTCCCCAACCTCACTCATGGCTTCATTTTTGCAATTCATTCAATTCTAAATCTCATTCGGGACCAAGAATAACCAAATAAGCACATTACATATGTGAAAACATGAATAATTTTTTACCTCGACCAGGACGTGAACCTTAGACTTATAATTACTAAGTCAAGGCGCTACAAACTACACCAGAGAATGTTAAAAGGAGATTAACCTTATAGTTTATATCTCCTATACTTAGGAATGAACGCATTCTATCTGAAAGACACTTTGTTCATATTACAGTTTCCCCAACTCACTCGTGACTTTATTTTCGCCTATAATTCAACTACCAATCTTATTCGGGACCAAGAATAAGCAAATAAGCACATTACGTATGTGAAAACATGAATAATTTTTTACCCCTTCCGGGACTGGAATCTAGGACTTATAATTAATAACTCAAGGCGCTATCAACTATACCACAGAAGGTTAAAAGAAATCTAACCTTATAGCTTATATCTGCTATACGTAGGAATGAATGCATTCCATCTGAATTCCACTTTTCTAACTTTGCAGATTCCCCAACCTTACTCGTGGTTTCATTTTCGCATTTAATTCAACTCCCAATCTCTTTCGGGACCAAGAATAACCAAATAAGCACATTACATATGTGAAAACATGAATAATTTTTTACCCCGATCTGGACTTACCTCTAGGACTTATAATTACTAAGTTAAGGTGCTACCAACTACAAAACAAAATGTCAAAAGGAATCTAACCTTATAGCTTATATCTGCTATTCTTACGAATGAACGCATTATATCTGAATGCCACTTTGTTCATATTTCGTATTCCCCAACCTCACACATGGCTTCATTTTCAAATTTAATTCCAATCAGAATCTTATTCGGGACCAGGAATAAAGCACATTACATATGTGAAAACATGAATCATTTTTTACCCCGACCGCTACTTGTCCCTTGAACATATAAATACTAAGTCAAGACGCTACCAACAATACCACAGAAGGTTAAAAGGAATCTAACCTTATAGGTTATATCTGCTATTCTTAGGAATGAACGCATTCTATCTGAATGCCACTTTGTTCATATAACATATTCACCAACCTCACTCGTGGCTAAATTTCACATTTAATCCTACTCCCAATCTCACTCGGGAACAAGAATAACCAAATAAGCACTTCACATATGTGAAAAGCTGAATCATATTTTACCCCGAGTGGGACTTGAACCTAGGACTTATAATTAGTAAGTCAAGGTGCTACCAACTATACCACAGAAGGTTAAAAGGAATCTAACATTATAGGTTATATCTGCTATACTTAGAAATGAACGCATTCTATATGAATGCCACTTTGTTCATATTACATATTCCCCAACCTCACTCGTTCCTTCATTTTCGCATTTAATTCAATTCCCAATCTCATTCAGGACTAAGAATAACCAAATAAGCACATTACATATGTGAAAACATGAGTCATTTTTTTACCCCGACCGGGACTCGAACCTTAGACTTATAATTACTAAGTCAAGGCGCTACCAACTACACACCACAGATATAAAGGGAATCCAACCATATAGCTTTTATCTGCTATCCTTAGGAATGAACGTATTCTATCTGAATGCCATTATATTCATATTACAGATTCCCCAACCTCACTCGTGGCTTCATTTTAGCATTTAATTCAATTTCCAATCTCATTTGGGCTATACAATAAGCAATTAAGCACATAT